GGGGGGGTCCTGCCCGGAGCCTGCCGGCGTAAGGACATGATGGGGCGCATGTCACCGATAAGCACTGCAGCAGGCTGCACCCTGCGCACGCAGCGGGGGGGGGGGGGCAGTGGTATAACGCCCGATGCGGTCCCTACAGCATGCCCAGACTTATCTGGCGTCGTAACAAAGTTTGACTCGTCCAGGAAGACAGCACATACCGTGGGGGGAGTGGGGGGCAGGCTGCAGGCCCCAGTGGCCCCACCACTCGTGGCGCTGCTGCTGCTGCTGCTGTCCGACCAGACCGTCGCCGTTGTGTGAGCAGCCTTCCGGGACACCGTCTTCGTCTGGTCCGGTGGGAGAGCTCCCCGCTGCTGGAGTGCCGTGGTCGGTGAGTCGCCGGGGCCGCCGCCGATGACGCCCTGGTGCCCGCTGGTCGTGATCCTGGTGGTCGCGTGTCGTTCATTGCCCCCAGCGGCGCGGCCGTTGCAGGCAGGCTGGCGGCCAGGCTCGGTGGCCTTGTCTTCCCCCCTCCCCCTCCGCCCCTGCCTCTCCGGGATCTCATCTCCAGACATTTCTTACTCCCGGTCAGTCCAGCCGGGTGGGTGGGGTGCGGCTGGGCAGAGGGACAATTAATCGCTAGATGCAACAACAACAATAATAGCAAACAACAACAGCGACGACGACGACGAGGAAAGGGGATCATTGATAGAAGTCTAACGCCTCTCTTTTTTTTTCGTTTCCCGTTCGGCGCGCCCCCTCTCTCCCCCGCTCTCCCCCTTCGACCGCGCACTTTGCGAACGATCCGGCGATGGAGACGGACGACAAGAAAACATAATAAAGAAGCGCTGTGGGAACAATGACAACCCGATAAGAGAGCAACAATACCGGCCGCGCCACGCCTCGCGCCCCCCCGCGAGGCGAGGGCCCGCCTGCACGCCCACGCCTCTCTCTCTCTCTCGCTCTCTCTCGCTCTTCCTCTCCCTCTCTCCCTCCCTCTCTCTCTCTCATTCTCATTCCCTCTCTTTCCCTCTCCCACTCTCTTCATCTGCGCGCACACAACGGCATCGATCACACTGCAGTTCGGCTCGCGACAGGGGGCGATTCACATTGATATTCCATAATGAAGTCCTAGTAGTATAGAGCCAGGATAGTTGATGACGGTGCAAAATAACAAACCATTTCGACCTTTATTAATGTTCACTTTCTAAAAGTAAACGTAGGGCTTTTAAGTAGTCTAACACAGCCACACTGACAACATAGTTTAAATCCAGGTTTCAGGTGATCAGAGCAAACATCTCCATGTTCTGTGTTGAGGGTTTGCATTCCGTTTCGTGCCTCGGCGGTCGGCGGCGGCGCTAAACGTCCGGGTCCAGGGCCAGTGCGACAATTTGGGTCTCAGCTGACCAGAGGTACCAAAGGCACAAGGCACCAAAGGTACCCAAAAATAGTTATCGCCATCTTTCATGTAGAATCGGAACACGGCTCACCTCCGTTGGAGGCTCTGGTGGCAGGCTCGCTGTACACCAATAGACAGCAGCTGTCTATTGACTGGGTACTCGGTGTCGTGGGTTCGATTCTCTCGTACCTCTGAATCTGAGTTTCAGTCTTGCTCACCTTCCCACACCTGTAAGTCCAACAACCCATAGTCTACCCCCAGTCCGTTTAAGCGAACAAGCACCGGATCCCAGTCGAACTCAGAAGTTTACCGCCCCCCCC